CCTAAGTGAAGCACTGCAAAACACTTGAAAGCATGCACTGTAAGTGAACATTATCATCAGGTTAAGACTAAAGTAAGTCCTTGGAAGATCTTCCAGAACACATTAAAAAAACCATTGTCAACTAGTAAGGAGTGATAGTAATAAGAAGGAATATTTGCAGCCGTAACCTACATCACAGCTATCCCCTTCCCCAAAATGGTTCAAGGGCAGAATGTGAAACAGACAGGTGTTACTGACATATTTTCATAGCCATTCAGAAGCACAGGAATGCAAAAAAGAAAAAGAAAAGAAAAGAAAGAAACCAGAGGCTTGGCAACAGACTACAAAGGGAGTCTTGAGATTGCACAAGACTTCCTAAGGCAAATAGGTACCGCTCCTTCAAATATCCAAAACAAAACAATTTAGTCTATAATTAGACTGGCCGATTTAGTCCCTACCTGAATTTCAACTTCAGGCATAGGCCTTTAGAAGTGCTTTTTTTTTTCCTTTCAAGACGTGGTTTTGCAGCTTCTCCAAGTCAACCACACCTTGATCCTGGCTGAATTGATGGTTTCAGATGTACAGGTCGACCTCACCTTACCCACAGTTTGTTTGGTGACCGTGCAAAGTTACCATGGCGTTGAACAAAGCAACTTATGAGCACTTACGACCTTTGTAGCATGCCTATGATCATCTGACCAAAATCCAGATGCTTGGCAACCTTTTCATACTTGGGACCGTCGCTGCGTCCCAAGATCTTGGGATCCCCTTTTACAACCTTGTGACAAGCAAAGTTGATGAGGGAGCCAGATTCACTTAACTACCATGTTGCTAACTTAACAGCTGCACTGATTCACTTAATAATAAAGTTGGAAGGGACCTTGGAGGTCATCGAGTCCAACCCCCTGCTCAGGCAGGAAGCCCTATACCATTTCGGACAAATGGCTGTCCAGTCTCTTCTTAAAAACTTCCAGTGAATGGGGCAAAACTCACTTTAACAAATGTCTCACTTAACCACGTCCATTTTGGGCTCTCCCTCCAGGATTTGTAGACTTTTGTAAAGTAGGCACTTTTAATTAAGCAAAGCAAATTTCACTTAGTGTAGGAAAGAGGTTCGTAAGGCAAGGCTTTTTTTGAACGTCAAGAAAGAGCCTAACCTGATGAAGTTGCTTCCAGTTTTGTACCTTGCTTCCTCTTACCTCGTTAACCCCTACATCAGTGGTTCTCAACCTTTTTAATGCCGCGACCCCAACCGATCGTAAGTCGAGGACTAAACCGGTCGTAAGTCGAGGACTAAACCGGTCGTAAGTCGAGGACTAAACCGGTCGTAAGTCGAGGACTACCCAACCGGTCGTAAGTCGAGGACTTTCCCTGCCCGGGAGCGCCACCCATGCGTGGTTCCGCCCCCTGCGCCGGGGCTCCGCATCGACCGTTCGCCGTCTCTGCCTCGTCCGGCTGGTGGTCGACCGGGTCGGGTTCCCTCCATTCCGTGGGCGGCCTTTTCCCCCTTTTTACCGCCTGTTTTTTTTACCGTCTGTCGGAACGAACCGCTGGGGGCACTTTACCAGCTAGCTGGGGTTTACCCCAGCCGACCCACAGGTTGAGAACCACTGCCCTACATCAAAATAGCCAAATAATTCCACATACGGCTGGGCTACTCACTCTTTGGTTAGGAGAGGGCACGTTTTGATTAGGAAGCGGGCTAAAGGTGTGTCTTGGTATATGAGCTCAGGAGGGGCAGTTGGGCTCTTCAGATTCAGGCAACGAACAATAATGTAAAGAACAGCAGCGACAGCAGCCAATTTAACCCCATCAAACACCGCCGGCAGCTCAGGGGTTTCTATTAAGGAACTCATCTTGCTATCTGAAAAAGAAAAAGAAAAAAAACACGTTTGGAAAACAGATGTTTGGCAACCAAAATGTTACGAGGTGCAATAGTCCTTTATTAAATTATCAAGTTAAAAAAAAAAAAAAGCTTTCACATCTAAGAAAGAAATCTCTCGATCTGATATCGCAGGTATTTTGAAGGCAAGAAATTGGGAGACCATAAGTTCCACCTCAGGTGTGAAAGCTGGCTGGGTGACTTTGGGCCAATCCCCAGGAGACTGTGAGTTCTAGTTCTGCCTTAGACATAAAAAAGCTGGCTGGGAGACTTTAGGCCACTCTCTCAGCCCCACCCACTTCACAGGGCTGCTATTATGAGGAAAATAGGAAGAGGAAGGAGTATCAGGTACGTTCTCCACCTGGAGTTATTTATAAAAAAAATAATACAGGTGGGATAAAAATAAATGAATCTATTTTACTGCCACATTTTCAAACGATAAAAGCTTCTTCAATCTAATAGTACTACCCAGAACCCCACATTTCATTCTAGATTAAAATTGTGCAGTTTTTATTCCGAGAAAAATATTTACTCCACTGGAAAATCTTTTATTTGCTTATTACATTTCAGTCGCTCAGCTATGTACCAAGGAAAGAAGCCTTATCTCAGAGACAAATTCAATTAATTGTAGTAAGATAAGCCCAGCGGAGAAGTTCAATGGGGTATGTTAGATGACCTTGAAGGAACATGGGAAAGAGATGCTGCTTAGGAAACAGTCAGACAAGAGAGGGTGGAACCCCCAGTGGCTTATGGGTTCGACAAAGAAATTTAGGAAGGACCCTCCCTAATCGATCAAGCAGTTAAAAGAGCTGGGAGGAAATTTGTGCGGTTAGACTTACAAAATTCTATGAACGGAATAGATTTAGTTCATCCAGTTGAATTCCCCCTCTGGTTTACCTGGGAGGGTTGACAAATCTATTTTGCAAGTCTGAAAGTACAAACTTTTTAACTGCTGGATCCATTCGGGTGCGTCCTCCCTAAGTTTCTTTCTCTGACTGTTAAGCCAACCGGGGGCTCCTGTCTCTCTTACCTGTTTTCTAGACAGCATCTCTTCCCCCTCATTCCCCAAAGTTCATCCACACATTCCAATTACAAAAAGGTACTAAATAAAATGCACATAATCCCTTACAAAAGGAAGGCCGTTTAGAGCGGCTCAGAAATGGATTGAATGTGTTGAATCACCTTCCTTTTTTCTGTTGGAGATATTAGTCACACAGGCAATGACTATGCACTGTACAGTAGCAACCCACATTTTTATCAATGCTCTTCAGGTTTTTTTATACAATGGCTGCACCTGTTTGATAGTACTGTAGATTATCTGTTTTACTTTATGACTAATAAACTATGTCTCATTTCAAACCTTGATCCAGTGGAGGGGGGAAAAATGGAAAAACGGATGTTTCACTAGGACAGGGGTGTCAAACTCGCAAAGCCGCCCTGAGTCCGCAAGGAGAAGGGCGGGATATAAATTAAATTAATAATAATAATAATAATAATAATAATAATAATAATAATAATAATAATAATAATAATGTCACGTGACGTGACATGACGTAGTGTGACTTTTTTTCCATTGTCGGCGATGGGTGCAGTTTCACCATGACGCATCCGGCCCGCCGGCCGGCAGTTTGACACCCCTGCACTAGGACATCAAGTCTGTCTTTAAACGTGTAATCTGAATTACACTCTCTAATTTTGTAATCCTACTTGATATAGTATCCTGGCCCAAATTTTAACCAGAAGACTATAAACAAGTACAGGAAAGAGGCAGAGAGGAAATATTCCATTACTTCCTGATTTGCTTGGCTTGGTCCCTTCAGCAGAAACAACAGCTAGTTAATATATCATAATACTGTAGAAACAATGCATTCCAAGCATACAAAACCCACCTGTGTAGTATGAGACTTATTCTTAAGAACAGGAAACTCCAGACCATCTAAGCAAATATGAAGTCCAATTCAAAATTAGCCTACAAAACAAAAGCACATTGTATATCACTTTACTGGCAGCAGCAACTCACACAAGAAACAAAAGCATAGGTATCCTACTTAAAACAAAAGCCATCTGCTATACTATTTTTAAGCTATTCCATACAAATCTATTAGATAGAAGCCACTTCAACTGCATCTACATCATTGTTTATCCATGGGGAGAACAAGGTGCATAAAATTTATCTTCGTATTAATGCAAATCAATTTTATGTTCATCACGTGGTCAGGTGATCCAAATTCAGACGCTTGGCAACCGATTCATATTTACGACGGTTGCAGCGTCCCGGAGTCACGGGATCACCTTTTTTGCCACCTTCTGACAAGCAAAGTCAATGGGGAAGCCAGGTTCACTTAATGACGGTGTTATTTAACAACCGCAGGGCTTCACTTAGCAACTTTGGCAAAAGGTCGTCAAATGGGGCAAAACTCACTTAACAACGGTCTCGCTTAGCAACAGAAACTTTGGGCTCAATTGGGGCCGTTAAGTCGGCGACTACCTGTTTTCCGTGGGATTTTGTCTAAATAAAACTTTGATAGGGCTTGCCAAATCATTCTATGTCTATATTACAAGCTGCGTTTTAAAATTCTCTACTTTAAAAGCACTTCACATATAATAATAATAATAATAATAATAATAATAATAATAGTAATAGTAATAATAATAATTGGAAGGGACCTTGGAGGTCATCTAGTCCAACCCCCTGCTCAGGCAGGAAACCCTATACCTGGGAATTTAGACTGGTATCCAAAGTGCCTCAATTATGAAGCTAGTTTTGTGCTTATTTTAATGCAGTGCTATGCCACCATTTGCAATTATTTCTAGGGAGCAGAGGATGTCCTGCCATTTATTAATCAACTTATTTAAACGGCACTTAAATAGCATTTTGAAAGGTGGAGCCCTTTGTTCTTTTGCAGCAGTTCCCACATACAGTAATTGAAATTGAGACATTAAATGCTAAATGGCAGGCTCACGTCCATTTTTACAAGACTCTTTTCAGGCTTGTATAACAGTCCTGAAAGGAAGTGAACTCATTTGTAAAATATTCATTCCTAAATTATTATATTAGTAACGATAGCAATGAGATTTTTGTTTTTGATATAGTTTACAACACAGGAAGTTCAAATGCATTATGTGCATGTTTTGCATATATTTCTCTCTGTGTGTGCGCGCGCGTGTATACAGTTAATGTACAACTTTAATACAGTAAATTAGTCATAAAGTAAAACAGAAAATTAATAATGCTATCAAACAGCTATAAGGTCTCCTGCTTGAGCAGGGATTGGACTAGACTAGAATTTCCAAGATCTCCCGTCCAACCTATTATTCTATGTTTCAATATTATAATTTCAAGTTTTCATTTATATTACTTATTGATTCTTGGCGCAAGTTTATTTACAGCCACTCTCAGATATCCCAATGGCTTAATTTTGTATGAGACAACTTCTTATTTTTACTACAATTAACAAGAATTCTGGTAATCTGCCTTACTCATCCCATAACCTCTGTCATTCCTTTATTTCTTCTGAAAACTGCTAGCTACATCAGAGACAATTAACTTCCCCTTAACATGCCAATTTCTTCACTTGAAAGAAAGTATTCTCATATGCAATCTGTATTTCACAGTTTAAAGTACAATTTTTAAAAAAATCATATTTCTGGACTTAGCTTTCTTAGTGCAAAGAAAAAACTTCATTCTACTAATCACCACGCCAAAAGCCAATCAAACCCTTTACAAATCTGTTGTCTCAATAAAAAAAGCCATAGATGTATTAAAACTTTATACTATATTGTTAAATGGTCTGAAGAGCAATAAAAGGGAATGTTTTCAGTCATTTCAGACTTGGCGCAAATTCCCCTATCTCATATAAACAAAGCAAACATCCCATAAAATCTGAAGCATGTTTTTAAAACAGCATTTGTAAAGAGGCATCGAAGATTTGTTATATGACCAAAGCAAGACATTCAAATCCATGCTTTTCCAACAAAATTGGGCATCCTATACAAGTAATTTGTCAAAAGAAAATATACATTGTTTTAAGTGCAAGAAAGGAATAAATTAAAATTGCAGATGGTTCATCAGAAAGTGTCAGAAAACAGTGCCTAGAGCTGAAATATAGTAGACAATATCAAGAAATGAAAAAAAAATATACCAAAAGATATTGCAATATTTTGTGTTAAAAGCGATTTAGAAGGTTCTGAAAAGTAAAATACTTGGCAGTCGAATTATTTCCTGACCTCGCCATAGCCCCTATCTTGGTATATTAATACTTAATAAATAAATAGAGCATTGGTGAGAATGTATGGATATTGTTGGGTAAAAAACTATTTTTAAAAGCCAGAAATTATGGAAGAATACATGCAATTCTGTGTCAATTGAATAGGCAAAAACATGCACTTGAACGGCAGTTTATTTCTCCATTCTGACAGCAATTCCAAGGAATCATGATTCCAGGAATTATTATCAGGAAGAAATCAGGATTTATATCAGGACATAAAACCAAGCTATACAGCAACAGTAATATTCAGTGCAAGACACCACAGGAATTTGCTTACCCAACCCAACAGAACTATTAAATTGATAACACAATTAACTCCAGAGGACCAAAGAGTTTTATACCTGCAAGGCAAGATGTTATCTAGTCTAGGCCTCCTCACACATTAATTGGACTAACACACTTTGTAAGCGATTGTGTAATTTTTTCCTGGCAAGCTACTTAACGTGACATTAAATAATCCAAATAAATAGCGAAGACCCCTAAAAAGCTATTAAAGAATAGACTGCACAGCTCACTTACATGAGATGGGAGAAGTATGTGTGACGTAGAATCAGAAGATATATAACTACCCATTAAGGGGTCAAGTACAGTTGAAAAGGGAATAACTGTCAAAGAATTCTTGAAGCAAAAAACTTGGTGAAACCACTTTTCATCTTTGGGAGGATGGTAAAAAAAAACAGGGTGTAGACGCATTATTCTTCCCCCCCCTTTAACTCAAGAAATAATAGGAAACATGCAGTGCAGGAACCATTAACAATCACAGAGTTGGAAGTTTTTCAAGTCATCAAACTCCATCTTTGCTAGTGCAGATACTGTAACTTACTACTGCAGATTTGAAGCTGCAACGTTATTATGCTTTTATTCTATTTATTCATCCATCTAGGCAATGTACATACTTAATAGCTCTTCCTGATGCCTCTTAGTTTCCCCACAACAACAACAACAACACTGTGAGGTGGGTTGGGCTAAGAGAGAGTGGCTAGCCCCAGAGTCACCCAGCCAGCTTCCATGCCTAAGGCGGGACTACAATTCAGACTCTTGGTTTCTAGGCCAGCAGCTTAATCACCATGCCAAACTGGCTCTAACATCTCTACAAGGCCGGCTTCCAGCTTCCATTTAAAAAACTACTGTATATATTAAAAAAATCCTCACCATCTTCACAAACTACACATTTTTTAAAAAATTTGAATCTACTGGCTTGTTACCATCTAGAACTGAGAACACACCTGGTCTATCTACTCTGTAAAAAGAGGTGTTTAATTTAAAACTTTCGACAGGAGTTTTGTGTTTCCCTTTTATTGTCTCTTCTCTGTATAGTGGAAAAACCAAGAGGAGGGAGAAAAGAAAAAGGATTAGCATAATGTCATCTAT